TAAAAGGAGCCTTTTGGGGCTCCATGCTGTGCTCCGGGCTCTGTGGGGCCTCGCCTGCCCCCCCCCCCCAATCCGGGGGGCTTTTATCTCCAATTATGTTACGATATTTCACACCATTTTATCCTTTCCTGCCTTGTTTCTGTGGAAAGAAAGAAAGAAAACACGATAAAATAGATAGAATAGAATAAATAGAGTAAAATAAACAGGACRCAATAAATGAAAGGGCTTTTTGCAACGCGGCCGCCTTGATGTCGGCTGCGGCGCCGGCCGCCCGGCCCTCGTTTTCCTTCCTTGGCTCCCTTGTCCCGCTCGCCCCGCGATGTTTTATTTTCCCTTCGGYGTTTCCAGCGTTGTTTTCATTCCCTCTATCCTTTTTATCTTCTTTTCTGCAGGAACAAAACGCCCGGGGAGTTTTAGCTGGTAAGAAGAGGAAAAAAAAAAGGGGGAAAAACAAGGCAAATTGGTGAAATACCCTCCGTTGGTTTCGGTCTTTTTGGAGTGAAGATGTGGGGAAAATTGTCTTCCRAAAAGAAAAGGGGGATCTTTTGAAATGTGCTTCAGGTGCCTCCCTGGGTGGTGCCAATTGGGCCAATATCCCGTTTTTTTGCATATTCCATCCTCCCGTGCAGTCCTTCCCGATCCTCCCGGCACCCGGGTGCTTGTTTAGCTGCCAAAAGTCACCTTTTTTTCCTCTCCCCCCCCCATTGCTTTTATTCCCTCTGGGATTTCTCGGCGCGGTGCCGTCGTTTCGGGTGCGCTATTCCCGCCGGGATTCCCGGGGAGCACCCGAGGGGCGTCCCTCGAGGAGGGGAAACATCGCGGCCTTTTCCCGCAAAAGCGGCCGGGGCTTTGGGAACAGGTCGGGAACGTCTCTGTGCCGGCAGGAGCGGGGATGTGGGAGGGAAAAGGCAATTGCAGCGATTCCAGAGCCGGATTGCGAAGCAACAGATTTCTTTTCCCCAGGGATTTTGGCGTGTTGGTTGCTGGGGTTGGGTTTTTTTTTCCCTTATTCCTTATCCCTTATTCCCTTATCCCTCAGCACAAGCTGAGAACAGGTTATCTTCGCTGCCGAGGAGCAGCTGTTTTCCCTGGAAATGCCTGGGGTTGGGAGCGGGGCTCAGTGCCCCCCATGCCAGCCCCTGCGGGGCCCGTCCCGCTCAGTCCCCTTTGCCTTAAACCTCGGCTCCRGAGAGCGGACGGATTCCCAGGTGGAAATTCCCATGGGCTGACAGTGTCGGTGCTGTTTTGCCACAGGCCCAGACTCCGAATGCATGGAGCGTTCCTGGAGCATTCCCGGAGCGTTCCCAGGGCATTCCCAGAGCATTCCTGGGGCATTCCCGGAGCGTTCCTGGGGCATTCCAAGAGCGTTCCTGGAGCATTCCTGGCTACCGCTGACTCCTGTGTCTCCCATAGGCCGTGCCGGACGCGTCTCCGCGGACTCAATCCTGCAGGAAACTCCATCCAAGCACCCRCGGGTGCCGCTCCCGACGGATCCGGGTGCCCAGCCGAGGAGCTGGGATTGTGCTGACGAAGGTGGGCGATTCCCTGTCCCAAAACAAGACAGCGCCAGGCAGCCCGCCCGGATTCACCCCTCTCCCCTCTTCAGGATGAAAACCTGGATTTGTGATTTGGGGCAGAAACTGGAGATTTTCACCCCATTCCTGGGCCGGTGCCGCCCCGTGGTGGGGCGCTGCTGCCAGACGTGCGCCCCGCGGAGCTGGGTAAGGGCGGCGCGGGATTCCCTCGCCGCCTCCGGCCTTCCCGCGGAGCTGGGGATCCCGGGATGCTGGAGCAGGGGACGGGGCGTCCGCGAGGGTCTGGAGCCGGAGCGGAGCGGCCGGGCGGTCCCTTCCGTATCCCTGCCCGCCTCCCYGCTCCGTATCCTCGGTGGGAAGCTCCGCTTTCCCGGGAAAGCTGCCTCTTCCCTCTGCTTGCAGGATTGCTTCTACCAGGAGCAGTTCTCCTCCCTCGGCTTCCGCAACGTGCTCCAGGTGACCGAGGAAGACACCAGGTGAGGACAGGGCTGTGCAGGCAGGCCCCCTTTTTTTACCAGATTTTGGCCCTTTTCCGTCCAAATCCCTGTGCCAAGAAGCATCCTTGGAGCGAGCCGGGTTTGGGGAGATCTGGGGTCCATGGGAGCCGCCGCCGCGTGCTCCGCAGCAATTTGGCTCGCTTTGGTTTTCCAAACGGGGTCATCGCGCTCCGCTCTGCGGGAAATATCCCAGCTCCAGCTTTCAAGCTCCCGGAATAATCATCCCTGCGCGGAGCAGCTCGGGAGCTGCGGGATGCTGAAAGGAGGCGGCTGTCGAGCGGCTGACAGCAGCAGCTGCAGGACGGAGCTTTGGGGTGTCCGTGTTTCCATGCGGCCCCGGCAGTCCTTTCGCTCCCGGCGTTTCCACGTGCTCCTCTTTCCGTGTTCACCGTTTTGCAGGGCGGCTGCTCCGTCCCTCGCTGACGCCTCAGCACCGATTTGGGGCAGATTGGGGCAAATCGGAGCGGTGCAGGCTGCGGGCGGGGGCTGCTTTGCTGGGTTGCTGCTGCTGGAAGCGGATTTGGGAATTGGGAAAATCACTGCGGATCCAGGGGGCAACCTACTGCCTTCGACTCCGGGCTGGGAACGGGGCCACCGTTCCCAACGGAGCATTCCCGGCCGCGCGGAGGAGCCCCCGGGCACCGGCCGGCGGCGGCGGGGAGGAATCCCCGGCGCCCGGTGCCGCTTTGGGGCTCCCGGGGGACGCGGCTCCGTCTCGGCGCCCAGGTACCGGGGCTGGCTGGTGCGGCGGCTCTGCGGCGTGCTCGCCGTCTGCGGCTGGAAGGTGGGCGCCGCGGCGCCGGGGGACCTCGCCGAGCGGGTCTGCCGCAGCCGCAGGTGCGTGCGGGGGGTCCCGCGGTGCCGCTCGGTCCC